TCATTTGTGGTGATGTTCTTGAGAGATGCCATGTCCTTGCAGAATTCCAAGGAGTAACCTTTATCACAAAACTGACTTATGCTAAGAAGGTTGTAATTGAGTCCTTCAACATAAGATACATCTTGGATGGTTAGTCCCTTGTACACAAGATTTCCTAGTCCTTTAGTAAGGCCAAAATCGTTGCTTCCTCCAAAAGTAACTCTTGGACCATCATAGGGAATTAGATTGCTCAAAAGGCTCGCATCACCCGTCATGTGTCTTGAGCAGCCACTGTCTAAGTACCCAACACCTGGGTACTTAGCGGCTTCCTACATTAGGAGGAGGAAGATTTTCGTACCCATTGCAGTCTAGGTCCAGAATGGTTAATGGTGTTTGTCCCTACATCAAGTTTAAAGTGGCAGGGAATTTTCCTTGCACCTCTAAACTTGTTGGGATTGTAATCATAGTTGTAGGCATAAAACTTCCTACGTGCAGGAGGTGCAATTTCCTGTTTTCTCCTAGCAAACCTAGGTTGATAAGACCTATAGTTTTTTCTAGGTTGTGCATAGTGTGACTTGTGTTGGTTATAAGCATACTTAGGTGGCACAAATAGTTTCTGGAGTGGAGGATGACTATATCTTGGCATAGTTTGTTGGAACACGGGTTTACGCCTACGTCGTACTAAACTGTGTTCGGTTGTTATGACAGGTTTTGATAATGCCAAACCGCCGCTACACATCGAAGCTAAAGTGAGCAAAACTAAGGCGAAGGAACATGGCATGATGACTTGAGAACCAAGAACCCAGAATCAAGAACGAAGAACTAGAATTGTATTGAGTCGGTCTTAATGTGATCAAGACCGGCACAAAATTCCAAATCTTGGCTCTCTAGGCTCAATTCATAAAATCTCTTTTACATATTCAAAAATATTTTTCTTAAGTTTTAAACTTGGCTCAAAACACTTGGAGTTCGCCCAAGCCAAAAACCAAGCCATCCGGCGTTCGGCTTTTGGTTTTCGGCATTGGTTTTTTGGCGTCCGAACCAACCAAGTGGTTTTCAACTTTTTATGACTGGTTTTTACTTCTGGGCATATTTAAATAGTTCTCCAACAAAAACGCCTCAAAAACTACTCTCCGTTTTTAGTCGTTTAGTGAAAACCATGCGAAACGGCACGAACTTGGTTAGCCATGGTTGTCAACTAAATGACGTGGTTTTCAAGATGTTTTACTTGATTTCGTAGCAAAATGCAATAAACAAATGTTTTCTAAACATGGTTTTTATTTTGGAGAACTTGCGTTTTTGACATCGGCTAACGGCGTGACTAAACCAACCATGGGTCTGGCTAAACCAAGCCCAACAGCGATGTAGAGGTAATCAACAGCGTTGTCTGGCCTGGGTAGCCAAAAACATGGTTTGGCGTTAAGTCTTCCAACAGCGATGTTGGAATTAAGACATCGCTGTTGAGCCAAGGTTGGATTTCCAGAAACTTCTGGAACAGCGATGTAGGCTCCCCTACAGCGCTGTCCAACCTAAGCCAAAAATATAGTGCATTGGCAAAAAGTTTTTGGACAGCGATGTTGACCCAGCAACAGCGCTGTCAGGCCAAACTTCCACCTTCAAAAGTAAGACCTAAACAACGATTTTCAAGTAATAGCCATCGATGTAGGGACCTGACCGTTGGAAGGAACTTAAGGCTAAAACTTTCCTTGTTTGGAAGTCAACAGCCAAAACAGCGATGTAGGGGTTTTTGGACATCGCTGTTGGCATGACCGTTGCTTCCCAATTTTTAAAATCAAGCCTAGAACAGCGATGTCCAGGCCTAGGACAGCGCTGTCTAGGTGAATTTCAGCAGATCCAATTTTAATCAAATCCCACAAATTGTGCCAATCACCCCTTAAATGTTTTGGTCCGTTGGAGCCTATTTTTCCACTATAAAATGGGGTGTTT